GCTTGAGTTATATATACACTTGATTTTTTTCTTCTTCATATATTAGTAACCAACTGCTATATCAGATGACATTGTTCCTTGTTTGTTACATTTTTCATTTTCTTTTTCCTACAGCCTTTAAGACAGAGGAAGACGTTGACCCTGATGATGATGTTGATGAGGATGACGACGATGATGTTTTTGAACCTGTGCCTGACTCACCAAAGAAATTGATCATGCGATCACCAGCAGCTAAAAGGAGAACACAGTCACTGAGTGCTCTCAAAGATAAAGAGAAGGCTACAAAGGTACACAAGTCTTAACTCTTCTGGTCCCAGACATGTGTTTCCTTAACCCATTACCTCCTTCCTAGTGGCTGCTTACAGGAATAAATGTTTGGGTCTGAACAGGTTCAGGTAAAAATGCAATGATACGGAAGAGAGCAAATAAACAGCTGGAGTAGAATGGGTTAAAGCTACAGGTGGGTAGGGTGCAGGGTGTTGAGAAAAGCATAACATGCCAGACAACTTCATTAAATGCATGGTTAGTTGCTTGGGACTGAAAGAGTTTACTAATTTTCCCTCCCCCCCCCCTGGTTTTGGTTTTAGTAATGGATCTCACGTTCATTTCCTTGCCATTTCCAATGTAAAGGCTAGCTTGATTTTAGTATATTGCTTAGCTTTGAATTAGTGTGTGTGTGTGTGTGCGTGCGTGCGTGTTTTTTTTTTTTTTTTTTTTTACAATTGACATTCTTTCTTCTTCTTCTTCTCCTGCCTTCTATCTTCTCCTGCCTTCTATCTCCCCAATGGGGCATAGGCCCTCAACCAACTCATTCCAGCTCGTTCTGTCCTTTGCTGTTGCATGCGGCTCTCCCTATGTCCCCTCCATCTTCTCAACTTCATCTTCTCGCGTCTCCGTCTGTTTTTGTGGTGTTTTTTAAAATAATAATTAATCATTATTTTTTTCATTTCTTTTTAAAGAGCAAAGATCACATCCGACGCCCCATGAATGCATTCATGATCTTCAGCAAGGCTCACCGTGCCATGGTTCATGAGCGACATCCCAACCAGGACAACCGGACAGTCAGTAAGATACTTGGGGAGTGGTGGTATGCCCTGGGTGCGGAGGAAAAACAGAAATACCATGATCTGGCTGCCAAGGTGTGCAAAAGATTCTTCTTATTTGTCAGTGTTCAGTTGTTTCCTTCTTCATTTTCTAGTTCCCTCCTACCTCATTTTTGTGTCTTTTTTCCCTTATCTTGCTTTTCCTTATCTTGCAGTTCCTTATCTTGCTTTCCCTGATCTTGCTGTTCCTTATCTTACTTAATTTTTTTTTTCTTGCTTTTCTTTATCTTGCTTTTCCTTATCTTGCTTTTCCTTATCTAATCTTGATTTTCCTTGTCTAATCTTGATTTTCCTTATCTTGCTTTCCCTTATAATTATTTTCCTTATCTTGATTTTCCTTATCTTGCCTTTTCTTTGGATGCCCACTACCCTTTTAAGGGCAAACACAGAAGGAGAAGAGTTCATGACCTTCGAGGGTGTGATGATATTTCAGAAGAAACAAGTTTTATCAAGAGACATTTCATAAATTTGCACCAAATGAAATATTTTCCAGACGGTAGTATTAAAATCAGTAAGGTGGCTGATTTTCATGTGCTGAAATTCTGTGATTTTCTTTTTCTTCCTCCTTCTTTTTCTGCTTCTCCTCCTCTTTCTCATGCTCCTTTTCCTTCTTTTTCTCCTTTTTCTTCAATCCTTCTGTCAGAAAACTTACACCAGGAGGCCGTTAGCCGTTATAAAAGCTATGATGCAGTCCATATATCCTCGTGTACCATACAGCTTTGTCTTCAGGGTGATTGGAACAGGTCAGATGGCATCTCTCTTTTGGCAGCATACAGTTGACAGTGTTGAAGCACAGTTGACAGTGTTGGAGTACAGTTGACAGTGTTGGAGTACAGTTGACAGTGTTGGAGTACAGTTGACAGTGTTGGAGTACAGTTGACAGTGTTGGAGTACAGTTGACAGTGTTGGAGTACAGTTGACAGTGTTGGAGTACAGTTGACAGTGTTGGAGTACAGTTGACAGTGTTGGAGTACAGTTGACAGTGTTGGAGTACAGTTGACAGTGTTGGAGTACAGTTGACAGTGTTGGAGTACAGTTGACAGTGTTGGAGTACAGTTGACAGTGCTGGAGTACAGTTGACAGTGTTGGAGTACAGTTGACAGTGTTGGAGTACAGTTGACAGTGTTGGAGTACAGTTGACAGTGTTGGAGTACAGTTGACAGTGTTGAAGCACAGTTGACAGTGTTGGAGTACAGTTGACAGTGCTGGAGTACAGTTGACAGTGTTGGAGTACAGTTGACAGTGTTGGAGTACAGTTGACAGTGTTGGAGTACAGTTGACAGTGTTGGAGTACAGTTGACAGTGTTGGAGTACAGTTGACAGTGTTTGGAGTACAGTTGACAGTGTTGGAGTACAGTTGACAGTGTTGGAGTACAGTTGACAGTGTTGGAGTACAGTTGACAGTGTTGGAGTACAGTTGACAGTGTTGGAGTACAGTTGACAGTGTTGGAGTACAGTTGACAGTGTTGGAGTACAGTTGACAGAGTTGGAGTACAGTTGACAGTGTTGGAGTACAGTTGACAGTGTTGGAGTACAGTTGACAGTGTTGGAGTACAGTTGACAGTGTTGGAGTACAGTTGACAGTGTTGGAGTACAGTTGACAGTGTTGGAGTACAGTTGACAGTGTTGGAGTACAGTTGACAGTGTTGGAGTACAGTTGACAGTTTTGGAGTACAGTTGACAGTGTTGGAGTACATGCTCAGCATTTTCTGGTGCCAAATTGCGGGGGTGTATCTCAAGTGTTTCTAAAACCGAAAAAAATTGAGCATATGTGGATGAAGCCCTGTCTTTAGTCTGAATATAATACATTGCCTCCCTCGATAGGGGCGATGAAGCACGTTTTCAGGAGAAAAATTTGGTGTTTTCAACCACTTTTCTTGGAAACCAGATTCTATAAATGTCTTAGTCTCTAGGTGGGTTGCGCCACTATTTGATTGTACTATGTCACTGCTGCTTCTGGTCAGTCTGTCTGCTTTTTCATTGCCTTTCAAGCTACAGTGACCTGGAGTCCACTGCAGTACAGATTGTTCTACTGAAGAGCCTAAGTGAATCAGCTGTTGCATCAAGTCTACAAACTGAGTGTCTTTTGTGTTAACAGTTGCTTGTAGAACTGACATAGCATCAGGCAGAAAGACCACTTTGCTTTATTTGCTAGTTCTGTGATCTTGTCATCCCTTTGTGGGACAACATTTTTTGTTTTTCGAAGCCCTACTCTGGCTCTTGCCAGGGGCCGCAATATTGCCCGGTCATAAATATGGTCTAATGGCTGAATGCGGTTTCTGAGACCTCTCCACGGTTGATCCTAATCCACATGGTGGCACTTTGTGTCATCGGGTGTTTACTGCTTGTGTGATGTCCTGGTTGAGTAAAAGATGAAAAAGATAAATACCAGTAAGACATTTTTTGATGAACTTAAAATTAAAAACAAATGAAAAGATTTTCCCGTTAAATGAAGAATCAACATCGCACCACTTGGGATGCGTTCATAAGTGCTCCATCCCCATTTTCGGCAGCAATCAAAGAGTTCATGTTCAGATTGTACCAGTAACTGTTCGATTGTACACCCGTCTTGCCATTCCCTTGAGCGTGAGCATCAGCCAGAACCCCTGGAAACTCCCGGCACCACCATTCTCCTCAGACCGTAATGATCTATTTCTGCCTCTGCACTGTTCACTCGCTTTCAAAGGGCCGTCACATCTAGCCTGTCATACATCAGCTCACCACCCTGTTAGGGTATATATTCGGCCTCAATCATTTTGGACCGTTATTCGGAGGATAGCCGACTATGGTCAGGATTTTATTTTTTACCCCAACACACAAACTAAAAAAACAAAATCTAACACCTTACAGAGGAAAAGAATTTGGGTTTCTCTTGGTAACAGAGGATAGTTAATTTAATTATAAATCAACATGTGATAACCTCCCTGGTACCCAGTGAGTTAACTACTCAGCCAGCTGCTTCTGAATGATCTAAATCAGTATTATTCACATATTCTAAGGCTAAAAATAATAATTGAAAGTTATGTTTCATAGCTTCAGGTGTTGTAAGAGGATAGGTTTTTCTTTTCAGGTAAAAGAAGCCCATTTCAAAGCCTACCCAGACTGGAAATGGTGCAGTAAAGACCGAAAAAGATCCAGCACCATAGCAGCCACCCTCGGCAAACAACAATCAAACAGATTGAGCTCCACAAACGATAGTGATGATGCCATCGGGTATGCCGCAACTCTTGCTTTCCTTCATATAGTCTTTTGTTTTCATGCAGTCTTTTGTTTTTGTGTATCTTTTAAATACACTGAAAAGTACTGTATACAAAGCAGAAGGGCCCATTCTAGAGATTTTTTAATGCCCTGATGCTGTGTGGCATTCCAGGAGTAGAGAACAGAAGACAAAGAAATAGTCTTTTTTCACACCTTTTAAAAAATGTTATCTGTGTGTGTGTGTGTGTGTGTGTGTGTGTGTGTGTGTGTGTGCGTGCCTGCGCGCGAGTGTCGGCGTGTGTGAAGTCTGTACTGTATTTTGTTTTTAAATGTAGTCTTTAAATGCAGATTTTTCAAGCTGCTTTTTTTTCATGTAGTCACTTTTCATGAAGCCTGTTGTATCATGTATACATTCTTCAAGTATTTTATTTTGGTAGGTTTTTTAAGGCTTTTTATGAGCCCATAGCCTGTTTTTTTCTTCTTCTCCATTTAGTCATTTTTCATTTACGCTTTTCCATGTAGAATTTTGTCGCATAGTGTTTCTTGTATAATATTTTGTCATATAATTCATTAATTTTATTTTGTTATTTTTAGCATATATTCTCCCCCCCCCTCCCCCCCCCCCCATATAATCTTTAATATTATTTTGTTGAATATTTTCTACATTTTGTTCATGTAGTCTTTGTCACCACTGATCAGTGGCATCATGAGAGCTAATAGACTGAAATGGTTGTTGCATATTGAAAGAATATCAGATGACAGAGAAGTAAAAACTGTATGCACAGGAGATGAATGGCCATAGACCATGAGGCAGACCAAGAAGATGATAGAGAGATAATATCCAGACAGACCTGCAAACGGTGTCACCAACTGGAAAGAGAAGGGCAACCAGAGAGATGAAGGGAGGCAGGTGATATCTGCAGCAATGAACCTCAATGGCTCGGAACGCTGAAGAAGATGGAGTCTGCGTTACTGACAGTTGACTGCCTGCTGTTGGTGCTTTATCAGTATTTGATCCTTATCCTGTGACACATCTTGCATTTCAGAACGCCTGGTGAGTCGTCAGTTCCAACAGACAGCCAGATGGGGGAGCCGAGCTCAGTGTCAGCACCAGGGTTAGTCAAACAATCAAGTCTAGACGACCAGGGATTCGATAGTGCTATCTCACGTCCACGTCCGCGGCCACACAGCTTGTCAGCAGTGCCAAGGGATGAAGATGCCAGTAGTGCATTTGTACCTTTTGTTTCATCGGTATGTCATCTTTGAAATATGGGAATAGTTAGCAGTGTAATGAGATAAATTTTAATTGATCTTTAACCCCTTTTGCCCCAAAAGAATCTTTGGCTATCCTCCGAATAACGGTCCCAAATTATGGAGGCCAAAAATATACCCTAACAGGGCCTCAGTCACGTGTCAATTGCGCACTTCCGCCGCCTTAAATTGCGCACTTCCGGCGACTTCCGCCACCGCTCATGTGGCATGGATTGGGGCTAAACTAGATGGCTGGGACTCACGAGCAGCAGCTACCGCATCTCCTGCAGCTTCCTACATTTTATTTGCTTGTGAGTCCTAGCCATCTAGTTTAGCCCCAATCCACGCCGAATGAGCGCGTGGGGGATACCCTCGGCAGTGGCGTTATAGTCCCCGGAAGTTCGCAATTGACTCGTGACTGAGGCCCTAGGGTATATTTTCGGCCTCTATAATTTTGGACCGTTTTTCAGAGGATAGCCGCATCTTTAAAATGACTTTTATCGAAACGTCATTAAAAAGAAACATTGTTATATGTAGTGACCACAGCCATGAGAGTTCTTGTCATCAGAGACCCTAACAAGCCAGAAAAAGCAGCTTTCCTGTGGCACAAGGGTTAAATCATTTGCCACATATTGCCGTTAAGTAGGTTAATTCAGATGTGTCCATATGTTTCTCTAGTGGGCATCCCCTCCCTCCCCCCCAAATGTGATGAAGTCACAAGTCATTTCACCTGTATTGTAGGAATTTCAGTCGAGGGTGTCGTTTTTTAATTATTACCTCTCGTATGTTTATTAATTGTCTGAAATTTAATATTGTTCTGAAATTACTGATTTTTTAGGTGAAGGAGGTGTCAGTTTATTTCCCCCTGTCAAAAGTACTGTTAAGATTTCGGCAAAATCAAAATCCCCAGATGAACGAAAATTTGTATCAGAGTCTTTATATAATCTGTTACTGTTTTGTCCAACTGCACACTTTAGATACAGTGCTTTATTTACTGCTTTGGATCATTTCAGAATGGTGAAGATAGACAAGCAGTAGTTTTGAATAAAATTCCAATGGATTGGTATTTGGTACCTTGGGGCTGGGGGGGGGGGGGGGGGGGGGAGTCCCATGTTATGGCGAACTGCTTGAAGCTCACTAACCAAGGCCTAAAGCACCCAATAGCTACAGAAGCGTGCTTCTACCAAGCAAAGAATGGGTTCAGTTGAGTTAACTGACATCCCAGCACTTGGGACATTCCCATAGTACTCTGTGTTGTCTCGAGGCATAGTGTCCGGGTTCAATGCCCGGTAAAGGCTATAAATTATTCACCTGGACTTGGACTTCTAGTAATCCCCCTGGTCTCTGGGTATAAGATCGAATGCCCTTGTGCATTGTTACACATGTAAAAAATTCCTTGGCACTTGGAAATCGAAAAGAGTAGCCTCACGGCGCTGCCTGTGCAAAAGTTGGAATTACAAATCTTCTCAAAATATTTCAGGATCCTCACTGGTGCTACAGAGTCTGCGCATGGTGCTGAGCTTAATCGGACTCAGACTTGAGTAAGAAGAAGAACAGAGCACTTATGGGTTACTACCTGTGTGCCATGAAGTTGATCTGTTGTTCAAAATCTCAAACCTCCGCAGCCAAGGACGAGTCCTAGTGTCAGTGGTACCAGTAGCAGTTTGATTGTATGTCCATCTTGCCTTTCCTGGAAATGAACACTGCAGTGGAAGCTGTAGGTGTGTTACTCATCGTACACATTAGCTACCCTATTCACAAAGACGAGGATGGATTACTCCGTCATGCCCTTGTCAAAAGTATTGATACATCTCCCTCCCTGTGTGAGTTCTTGGGTTCTATTTTAGAGATCAGTGAACAGACCCACTGCCTCCCTGACAAGCATGTCATAGGAGGCTAGTTAGGGGTGTTTTCTTCAAAAAGTCAGATGGCATCTGTCTGAGAGGCAAGAAACCAACACACAGTCTGCATACAAATAAACCAGATATGTAAAATGGATGTGCATTCAAAACTCCAGTTCTGGAACAAGACAAAATCCAGAAGTGAATGAACAACCAGAAATTACCACCAGAGTTTACAGCCAGTGAATGCTAAAAAGAAGAAGAAGATACATCTCCCAAATGTAATAATCTCAGTTCCAGATATTGTTACTTTAATTCATTAAATACAAAACAAGTCTTGAAAAAATTGTATTATTTATATTAGTCATACTTTGTCTAAAGGAGTTTGGAAACAACTCTGTTAAAAGAATAAGTTAATACTTCAAGTAGGGTGAATGTAACAGATAGATAAAGCACAGAGAGTTACAAAAAGTATATCATGTAAGCAGGAAGTATAAACTCACGGTAAGTTACAAGGTACTGAACGGATAAGAGTATAAAACATTCAGAGATAACAGTTAATTTAACTGATCTGTTCAGCAGGGCCAGAACCTGAAATTTCAGGACACGCGGAAGGAGACTCTGCAACCACCACAGTCACTCTCGGGAATCATGCCTCCCAGGACAGCGGCAACAGCATCACTGCCACAGGTGCAGAATACCAAGCTTGTGACACCTCCATCATCGAGGCGCACATCGGCCAGGAATGATGACGACGACAGCGATGATGGGTCCAAGATGGTGATCTGCGAAGAAGGTACAAACTCTAGCAACTACTAGAATTTAATGAAATACTGATTGTGTGGGCATAAACTTTAAAAAAGTTGAATAGAATTTATGACAACACTGATACTTCTAGTCATAAACTATTAAAATACTGTTGGTGTGCTCGTACAATTTAATGCAGTCTGTGAGAATACTGTTGGTATGATCATAAACTTCAATAGAATTTGTGAAAATACTGTTAGTCTGGCCCAAAAAACACACGGAGAAGGGAGCTGGAGTATGAAGTTAGAAAGATGGGAAGGACATGGGGGAGAGCTGCATGCAATAGCAAAGGATAGAACGACCTGGGGTGAGTTGGTTGAGGGCCTATGCTCCATTGGGGGCTAGAAAGGCAGAAGAAGAAGAAGAAGACTGTTTGTCTGGTCACAACTATAATAGAATTTATGAAAACACTGTTGAACAGTGTAGTCTGGCTAACTTCTGTTTCATTCACTGTTGCCACTTTTCTTTGACAAAAAATATCCAAAATGAGGTCAAAAATATCTAAAAACATCTTCATTTGCGTGGAGAACATCTAGAAAAAACATCCAAATGGAAAGAGTCAGAAATTACATAGCTATTGATATGACTTACCCTATAGAATCATGTCCTCATCTTCACTGATGTCTGCCTCACAAGATCCACAGGATAAACTTAGCTTGTATGATGAAGTTGAAGCTTCAGATCCGAAATGACTCTGGTATGCTTTAGCTGTTCCAATTTCTTTTAATACCCCATCAGGGAGCTGATAAGTGGAACAGCCTTTCTCTACTCTTATCAGGCTGAATTTTATTGTCAAGATAGCATGTAAGAAATCAAATTTCATCCTGTTTCTTAGGTTAGATTTGATAAATTCACTCCAAATGAAAAACATCTAGAAAAGCATCTACCATCTAAATGTCAAAAATGCCATCTAAATGCAAGTGAAAACATCTAAATCTGGATGTAAAACATCCAAAGTGGCAACACTGGTTTCATTCTTCTGTTACCTCCATCCTTTGCACCACAGGCGCTTCTTAAGCTGAACCTGCGCTATATTTATCCTATTCTAACCTGAAGGGTGTTCTTCAGTCATGAACTACCAGTGGTGCTTCAGAAATTGTTGCCTTATTTTTTAACGGCTACATGATTTCAGCTCTCTATTGCTGCATAATTTTTCTAGCCTCTGAAGAGCTTCAGATGTTGCATTGGCTGAAAATTGCATGGGGTTTACATGTTCACCCAAATAAATGCACACCCACCCTCACCCTCACACATACACACTCACCATATCAACATCATGTACCTTGCCGACTGTCAAAGGCAATTATGCCTCTTCACAATCTGCCGTCAACAAAGTGCGCAGATCAGTTTGTGTGATGCCCAGTCATGCAAGATACCACCCTGGATCAGTCCAGTCATGCCATGCCTTGACTACATTACCAGAAGCTATTCTGATTACAGCAGTGTGGATCTTCTTCTAAGTGTTCCCCAACTGAAACTCGGGCAGAAAGTTCCGGTTGTTAATCCACCCCTGGACAGTAGACTTCATGCAGAACTTGAGTTTTGCGGGCACATCCATTTTACAGATCTGGCTTATTTGTTTGCAGACTGGGCAGAAAGTGTGTTCTTTCTTCTCCTAAATGAGGTCGCAGAACCCAGAGAGGGAGAAGGCACCATTTAAATAAAGGATGTGGTTTCAAATGTAATAACTAAAGTAAAGGACCCTTTTCCATACCTTCAGGCATATAGGGCTAGACCTATATTTTATAGACCTATTGGCACTTGGTGGATGAGCATCATGCCGGCTGCCTTTACTTCCCAGACAAAGGTTGTAATGGCTTTTCTAGTATGCGTGCTTATTTCCATTTTATCCTCTATCCCCCTCAGTGAATGCAAATCAAAACCTCTAAATTGGTTATTGTTTTCAAGACCGTGCTGGTATGTGGGTGTATTTGCAGGAGATGATAGTTGCCAGATGGGAGGCATTGATCTGAACTGCCAGGAGCAGGTGTCGGACTCGGCCACAGACAGTGACATAGAAGACGAAGGCTTGATTGAGAACAAAGCTTTTCCTCAGCAACGCTTTTCTCCAGTCATGAAGAAGGTACATCAGCATACCACTGTTGTCTCTATAACCACCATAATACCACCAACACTATTACTAGTGGCAGCTCATCATCATCATCACAACTGCTACCACCACAACAACCAATACCACCAAGACCATTACCACTATCATCATTGTCATCATCACCAAAATCCCCACAGCTACCACCTCGACTGCGTCCACCACCACCACCGCCGTCATCACCACAGCCACCATCATTGTCTTGTTCATCATCATTATCACCACCACCACCATTATCACCACCACAACAACCAGTACCACCAAGACCATTACCGCTATCGTCATTGTCATAATCATCATCAAAATCCCTACAACTACCACCACGACTGCATCCACCACCGTCATCACCACAGCCACCATCATTGTCATGTTCATCATCATCATCATCATCACCACCACCACTATTATCCCTACCACCACATCATCATGAAACCACAACTGCCATCAACATCATCATCATTATCCCTATCATCTAATTCTATCTGTTTAAATTCACAGGCGTCAGCTTCTGAAATTCAATACCCAAAGGCAATAAAACCTGGCAACAACAGCAACATCAACAACAACAGCTGCAGCAGCTCAGTGGCAAACAGCAACAACAACAACAACAACATGTTCACAGCCCCTGGCGGCCACACCCTCAGTTTTGTCTCCAAGGACAGTCAGTCGGACCATCACCACCACCACCAGCAGCAACAGCAGCAACAGCAACAGCAACAGCAGGCGTTGTCTTCACATTCCAGTTTGCCTTCCTTACAGTCGGCAGTCATGGAAGCAATGATCCTCCCCAGGCCCTCTAGCACTGGCTCGGGATATCAGATAATGGCTGATGCTTTTCAGGTTGTTACCATACTTGTTTATATGCTTGTTTTTATTCACCCTCTGTTGTTTTAATTCACACACTATTGTTTTCATTCACACTCTATTGTTTTCATTCACACTCTATTGTTTTCATTCACACTATTTGTTTTAATTCATTTTATTGTCTTCATTCACACTCTGTTGTTTTTATTCACACTATTGTTTAAATTCATTTTATTGTTTTCATTCACACTCTATTGTTTTCATTCACTCTATTGTTTTAATTCATTATATTGTTTTCATTCACACTCTGTTGTTTTCATTCACACTTTTGTTTTCATTTATTTTATTGTCTTCATTCACACTCTTGTTATTTTCATTCACACACTATTGTTTTCATTCACACTATTGTTTTCATTCACACTCTTGTTGTTTTCATTCACACTCTGTTGGTTTTCCTTCACAATTGTTTTTTTTCATTCACACTGTTTTTTTCATTCACACTCTATTGTTTTCATTCACACTCTATTGTTTTAATTGACACTATTGTTTTCAGTCACACTCTGTTGTTTTAATTCACACTGTGTTGTTTACATTCACATTGTATTGTTTTAATTTACACTATTGTTTACATTCTCACTCTGCTGTTTTCATTGACACTGTTGTTTTCAGTCACACTCTGTTGTTTTCCTTCCCATTTCTTAGTTTTTATTTACACTCTATTGTTTTTATTCACACTCAGTTGTTTTTATTCACACTGTATTGTTTTCATTCACACTATCTTGTTTTCATTCACGCTCTATTGTTTTCATTCACGCTAATGCTAGAGAAGAGCTATTCAACTGTCTGCTCGCAGGCCACATCTGACCTGCGGAAGCCAAGCAAGTGGCCCGTGGTGTATTGTCAGCAAAATTATTTTTATTATCTTTCTTTGCTGTGGCCCTAATATATCATAACGGTTGAACAGGGTTTCTGAAACCTGCCTCTGGGTGATTCTCACCTGAATGGTGGCAGTTTGTGTCACCCACTGTTCGGCATTCAGTGTCATGTGAAAATGTATCTAACACCTGAATGTGTAACATCTAACAGCATAAGCATTAGGACAAAATGAAGAAGAAAGAGAAGGAAAGTTGAAGAAAGTTCTGGTTTCTGCTCAACAGGGCATACTTGAAACAAGTAGCAGCATTAATTCTGCTTTGACTAGAAAGTGCACACCCAAATGTTTTCTCCCGCAGGCACAGTCGAAGATGAAGCTGCAGAGAATGATGTCGGTGGGCACTGCAGAGATGTTGTCTCAGGGCCCAGCAGGAGGCCAGCGGCCGGAGCTGAAACCCTCCCGCAGTGAGGACAAGCCAGACGTACCCAGACAGACATCTCGTGTGAGTCTTTCATGTTGGTTTTTTTTTTAAATGTCTGAAGTGTCATTCAATGTTTAACGCACCTCCAAAACACCCCTCCCCCTCCTTTTTTCTTCTAGTTTCGTTTTTTTCGTTTTCTTCCTTCGCAGTTATCTCAGAAAGCTTGTTGATTCTGGGGCTCCTGGGTGGGGGGGGGGGGGGGGGGGGGGGGGGGGGTATTTGTGAAATGACCAGAAAAAAATGTTATTTGCTTGTTCTTTTTACAGAACTGAGGAACCAACCCTAGTATATATTGGCTGTTTGTGATTTCAGGAGACAATTTTACTTTCACTAGTTTACCATTGCTTTCTGAACAGTCCGCTCTTGATACCACTGTTGAAACCAGCATAATTTGATCTGTTGCCAAATCACTTGCAGCTGGGATCAAACCTGTCACCACATAATTACGAAGTGTGTTCGCAGCACCAGAGCCACAGATAAAACTAAATCTGCTCCTTAATGAGCATGCTAGAGCATAATACACACATCTGGATGACCTCTGATGGTCTGGGTTCAAGCCTGTATAATTGTTTTTGCAAGAGCCAGTAAACAGTGTGGAGACACATATAGATCATTATGGTCTAAGGAGAATGGCACTGCAAGGAGTCAGTAGGGGATCTGGCCAATGCACAACACTCAGGAGAAAGGTGAGACCGATATGCAGTCAGACAGTTACTGGTGTCACTGGAATCGGAACTCTTCGCCTGCTGCTGAAGATGGGGGACAGAGCGCTTATGGGAGTGTCGTGAGTGCTGTGATGTCGATTCTTAATTCAACATGATTCTTTTTTCTTTTTTTTTGCGTTCACTGGCTGTAAACTCTGGCGGAAAGTCCTGATAGTTAGTTTGTCCACCTCTGGACTTTAGTCTTGTTCCAGAACCTGACTGTTGCTTGCACATCCGTTTAACAGATCTGATTTATTTGTATGCAGACTGTTGGTTCTTTACCTCTCAGGCAGATGCACCCTGACTTTGAATGTCATGGGGAGAGCTGCATGCAATATCAAAGGATAGAACGACTTGGCGAGAGTTGGTTAAGGGCCGATGCTGCATTGGGGGTTAAAACTAGGGCTGTACCGAATAGTGATTTTCACTATTCGGCCGAATACGAATAGCTGGACCAACTATTCGGCCGAATATGAATACGAATAGTGAATCATCATCATCAGGTGCTCTGCCGACTGGCATGGACGAGTATGCCTTGCCACAATCTGCTATCTCCTGCAGCATGTATCAGTTCGTGTGCTGACACACCTCCATGCCATGCAACAAGACTGTCAAGTCTCTTCTCTTGGTGTCTTACTCTATCCCTCCTTCTACAGATCTTTCCAGTGGTCACCACAAGTTCCATTTTCACTCATCCTATAACATGGCCGAAAAATGATGACTGTCTCCTTCTGATGTCTGTGATTAGTTGTCTTTGGGCTCCCGCCTCTTTTAAAACCTATTGGTTGCTTTTTTCTGGCTGTCCAATGTATTTTAAGCATTGTTCTGTAAAACCATATCTATCAGGCCTCAAGAAATTGTTTGGCCTGCCTACCGATTGTCCAGTACTCACAGCCATATGTTAAAACTTGGTGTATGTAGCAAGCAAGAAAGCATTAGCTTTAAAAAAAACACACAATCATTCCATGTTGTCAGCATTAAGGCAGCTTCTTGTCTCACTGAAGGTATTTCCAGCTGTGCTAAACAGACGTTCACTTGGTACGCTCGTAGATGGTGCACAAAGTAACGCTTGACAGTATGAACCAAGGTGGAAAATCTTGATATGTTCATTTTACACCAGTCCAGAACCGGTTGTAAGGTAACCACTATTCCTATTCGGCCCGACCGCAACTATTTGGCCGAAAATCGAATAGTTATTTGGTCCCCAATTCGGCCCCAAAGCGAATATTCGGTACAGCCCTAGTTAAAACAAAAGAAGAAGAAGATTAAGTAAAGGACCCTTTACTTGTTTGAGTAAGTAATGGACCCTTTACTTGTATGAGTAAGTAATGGACCCTTTACTTGTATGAGTGAGTAAAGCACCCTTTACTTGTATGAGTAAGTAAAGCACCCTTTACTTGTATGAGTAAGTAATGGATCCTTTACTTGTATGAGTGAGTAATGGACCCTTTACTTGTATGAGTAAGTAAAGGACCCCTTACTTGTATGAGTAAGTAATGGACCCTTTACTTGTATGAGTAAGTAATGGACCCTTTACTTGTATGAGTAAGTAATGGACCCTTTACTTGTATGAGTGAGTAAAGCACCCTTTACTTGTATGAGTAAGTAAAGCACCCTTTACTTGTATGAGTAAGTAATGGATCCTTTACTTGTATGAGTGAGTAATGGACCCTTTACTTGTATGAGTAAGTAAAGGACCCTTTACTTGTATGAGTAAGTAATGGACCCTTTACTTGTATGAGTAAGTAATGGACCCTTTACTTGTATGAGTAAGTAAAGCACCCTTTACTTGTATGAGTGAGTAATGGACCCTTTACTTGTATGAGTAAGTAATGGACCCTTTACTTGTATGAGTAAGTAATGGACCCTTTACACCCCATTGGTACATAGGACATGTGATGTTACACTCTTTTTATAGACTCATCCGCACTTGGTGGAGGATATGGTCGGTATCGTGCTGTCTGCCTTTTCTTCCCAGGAAGTTCCCATTTTAGCCAGATATTGATGTGTTATCATATGATAATTTTGCTGTGACATACTGGTATGGGTTGGTGGCCCTTGTGGTCATCTCACATGATCACAAAAATCAAGGATCAAGTTGGTGTTCTTGTGCCACCTGATCCGTAAAGCCAGGTCATCCAGGTGTTGTAATGTCCCTCCCTTTCCCCGTGGGGTCCAGGACCCCATTGTGGGGGTAAATAGAATAGGCACACTGACTCTGTAACAAGCTTTTTGTTGGAGGTGACCGATTAGGGCTGTTTGCTGTGAAGTTAGGTACGTCTGCCTGAGAGGCAAGAAGCCAACAGTCTGCATACAAATAAGCCAGAGCTGGGACTTGGATACACATACAAAACTCTTTCAGTTTTGGAAGACCAAAGTCAACAAGTAGAATAACAACCAGGTGTGTTGGGCTGAAAGGCATAGATATCACAGCTTAGCTGTAAACCAGAATAGATAATGCCATTCATCCCCCAAAGGGCGAATGCAGGAGAAAAAGACAGTAAGTAAATTTTTCGTGTGTCACTCTCTGGGATAGTGAAGAGTGACAACAATAGACATTAAGAATTATAGTAAACCAATATTTCTAAGTTTTCCCTTTGCCTCTTATGTTCATTAGGTTGAAAAGTTAGGCCAAATGACGATTCATAATATCACAGTGACCCAAGATGACCGGCAACAAATTATCATGTCTAGCAACACACAGACCACACTTGGTCGTCAGGATGGACCGGTCATGGGGAAAATGTCTAGGGCTAAAGGAGTTAGGGGCCAGGTTTGTATCCTCTAATGTTTGTCATGTTATCTTGATTGGTTTTATACTCTTTTATTGAACTTGCGCACAGTGTCTGTTGCTATGGTCAGAACTTAGCTAGTGATTTAAAAACTATTTCCTGATAAGCTGTTTAGCTCAAGTTGTGCACACACACCCGTTGTGGATGACAATGCATTGCGGTGCAATAATATTCACTTAAAATGTGTTTATAGAAAGTTTTTATTTTGAAAGGTGTTAAATTTCATATGCATATACTTGCATGACACCTTGACGTATCAAGTCTCCGTTGTGACTTTTTTTGTACAGAAAAAATATAGGTGAATTTTGTAAAGCAAATTATTTAAGCTGTTGCTCCAGTAAACTATATGGTAATTTGTATTTTTAGTTTTAGTTAATTAATTATTGAATGCATATAAAATAATAGTGTATTTTACAAAATTATGACAATTTGTCAAAATTGATAGTTGGAGTAATTAGAGAGCTTTCTTCTTCTAAGAGTCCATCCCATGTGGCTTTGATAGTCATGTCTATCCACAACCTTCTGTCTCGTGTACTTTCTGTCAGTTCTGACACAGATGATATTCCATGTCATAATGTCAAACTGTCCAGCGTCTCTCTCTCTGTCTCCTCTGCCACTTTTCCACCTTCAGTGTCACGATGTACTCAAGAATTCTCCTTCTCATGACATGACCCAAAGAATGTAGATTATCTCTTTCAGATGTGGACAATTAGTTCTCTTTATTAATTGTTCTTCTTCTTTGCGGCTGTAAACTCTCACAGAAAGTTCTGGTCGTTCGTCTGCTTTTGAACTTAAGTCTTCAGAACCTGAGTTTTATCTGCATATATGTTTTACAGGTCTGGCTTTTTTTAAATGCGGGCTGTTAGTACCACAATTGTCAGGCATATGGAGTTCGACCTCAAAGGTAACACCCCTAATAAGTTAACTCTTACGGCATGCTTGTTAGAAGGCAGTGGATCTGTTCTTGTTTTGCCCAGTGGATCTAAGCTCACTGCAGCATACCAGGAAATGAGTTAGCAGACAGATTTGCTAAAAATGGAACAGAGGAGAAACAACACACCCATTCATTTCATTACCAGAAATCAGAACAATTTTCAAGGGAAAATACAAGGAATTTTGGAGAGAACAAACAGTAAACATTCACAAGACCCCATCAGCAGACTCAACAGAAAGCAGCATACAACATACGAACAGGACACTGCAGGCTCAACTACCATATACATAAAATAAAGATTGTACAGTCCACACAGTGTGACTGTCAAACAGCACCACAGACATCTGAGCACATTCTGCAGACCTGCTTACCACTCTACATACAACCTCCAAAAGACACCTGCATCAAGAGCACAGTGTACAGAGCGAGCTATGGGGAACCATGAAGGACCTGCTGCTAGCAACCAGACAACCCACCTGATGGTCTGATCTGAGCATACAAACCCGAACACAAAGAAGAAGATGTTTTACCCACAGCCAGGACCTGGATTCCCACACACAGAATCTTTATTAATCTGTTGTTGTTTTCTTAAATCTGTCCAGGG